AACTGTTGCAGTGGTTCAAGAGACAGGGTCATTAAGATACAAGAGTTTCAACTGCTTTGGTGAAAATGCCACTACAGAAATATCGGACATACACGTGGCGCGCTTACGTCACATACGATCAGAATATTAATGTTCGCTCGTGATGTACTTCAACCAAATCGGAAATCTCAGTCATACGAAAAGACTGTTGTGAAACAAACGTAATATGCGACTGAGATGACTAATTTACGAAAATTTTAATTTCGTCGAAAAAAAAAATTCTATTTCCTGTCTCGAAGATGGAAATAGTATGTTCATAAGAAACGTTCGTATTTACCCACGAAACTACACAACCTCAATTATTTAAATAAAATGTATCACGTGAAATCTGTCTCATGCAAACACTTTACCTTTGTGTTGATATCCGACCTAATCTAATTACTTTATTTTCCTGTCAAGATTTGAATTATTTCGTTAACATATAACCTAAGTGAGTCGCAAAAATCAGCTCTATCCCGAATTCCAAAATAAGTTTAGTGTTCAGCAAGATATAATCCAAAATTGGGGTAAATTTCGTCTAAACTTTATTCTGGTTGTGGTACTACTGTAATAGAGAAGCGAGACAAAGCAGCCTTCAATAAAGTTTACAAAGAATGGAGAAGAAAAATGTAATATTTTAGACTGAAAAGTTAGGAGATGATTCGACTTTCAGTTTCTTTATTGTAACAATTTTAAGCTCATTTTGTCCTTTCATTTTTCCATCAGTCGGTTCTGAGTTAGTTTTATAAGGAATTGAAATTCGTGTTTATAGTTAAAAGACGGCGCTCAAAGGAACCTGCAAACATGTGCACCAAAGAGAATGTAACATCACACCATACAGTACATTCCACATGTGTTGTTAACGTGACTCTACCAAAGGAGAAGGTTTTATAGCGTCGAATAAGAAATTACAGAACGTGAGGTTTGCGATTCTCGGCTCTGAGTACAATTACGCCGTCCTTCTGGGTTTGGCGCCGCGTAGATTCGTCGGTAAATGCCAACGTTTCGGAGAAACAGTTTTCTCCATCTTCATGGCTGAAGTAGAATGTGTTCGATGTACAGACTATATGTGGGCCAATCAGGACCGAGGAATGAGGGAATATCAAGATTATATCTTAATATATTTCACGCGTCAAAGTGCGCATTTCAACCCCCGACCACACCCCACACACACATATATACAGGGTGTCCCACAACTAAACTAAAACTTAATATCGTTGAGTGATTAGGTAGGTAATTTAAAGTTACGAGCGTTTAAAACAAACTAACTCATGAGGTAAATTGTATTTTACTACTGAATTATAAACGGATATTAAATAAATATATATTAGTAACAGAATATTTGTATGACATAAATCTGTGACACAGGAAAAGTAAGCTTAGTAATTTCTACAAAGAAACCCCAACTTTGTAAACACACATTCCCTGAGTTCATGTGTCGTAATTGTTTCTGAATACAAGAGGGAAAATCCTGTCACGAGAAAATATCTCAATATTTTATTTTAAGTATTCTCTCTTACATTCATTCTAAAATAATATCTATGCCATAACTGTATAATTTATACATAAAATCCATAAAAACTAAACAAGATGTCAAAATCATACATCACGTTGCGGCTTATATTACATTCGTCTTATTTCACGTGACCAGCAGAGAATAATTATTTTCGACGGAAGGGTGGATTTTTATAAACCACTTGCAATTAAGCTTAAAGGTACAAATCTCGATTAGCTCGGTGGCACGTCCCACCGACTTCAACAACCAACAACTCTTCATTTTGCATTTATACGTTTCGTATGATTCTCGCTGTAAACAGCGATTATTTCCTTAAACAGCGTTAACCATTTTATCTTTGTAATGGTGAAGAGTTGTGTTTACTTCGCGGTACGGACTGAATTCTTAAAAATTAATCAGACGAACTATGATCCTCGATGTTAACAGCGATTATTTCCTTAAACAGCGTTAACCATTTTATCTTTGTAATGGTGAAGAGTTGTGTTTTCTTCGCGGTACGGACTGAATTCTTAAATACGTAATATTTAGACGAGCTTCGGCTTCAAATGGTTGAAGTCAATGAAATCACAAGACCTGGGGGTGACGGGAAACTTGTCGACACAGACCTGCGATGACAGGTCATCCGCTTACACCTGACTGCCCAAGACTGACTCTGACTGCGTCAGTCTTGGACAGCGCACTCTCGTTTGTCAACACCGTACACTTACCCTCCTCTCCACGCCTCTGGTTATAATTAAGTAAGCACATTAAAAATAAAGTTCATATTTATGAGTTCAAAATTTGACGACCATAATACAAAAATTAAACACTAAAAATGTCAGGCTAACAGGTTCAGACATTACTCAATTACATTCATAAATAAATCTGTTGCTTCTCATTCTTATTAATCACGCACTTAACGTAAATTTTACGCGGTAAGTGTTTTAGCATCATGGAGGGTGTTAAAATATTGCAAAGTATGTGTTTCGTACGAGAAATATGGGCGGACAGAAGAAATGCGAACCCTTGGATTACCATTAGAATAAATACGACAATAAATCTGGCATTGCCCTAGTAACCTTAGAAGCGTCTCGAAGTGGACCGAAATAGCTTCGCTTATCTGAAAGAGTGGGGCTGGAATGTAGGATTTGAGTCTGAAGATGGCTGTCTTCTGGTAGAAGAACACGGGAGATATAAAATCCCGGGTCTGGGTTCCGATACTCACCTCTGTTCTGGGCCGGCGCGTAGATGTTGAGGAAGAGACAGTCCTCGCTCTGGTTGTGCAGAAAGGGCACAAGTCTACGCAGGTACATGGCTCGGCTCTCTGACATCTTCCTCGAATTCGGATCGGGTACGTTCTGCGGGCAGACGGGCCCGAACTCGTGCGCCATCTTCACTCCCATCCAATGCGGGGGGGAACCTGGAGGCATCAACCGCTGGGACCCGGTGGGGGCAGCGGCGTACGGAACCCCCAGGAACACGTCCACGGGCTTCAGGTCCCTGTTAAACGTCGTTTCAAGTCTGAGTCCGACCAATTTGCCCTGTTTGATTTTTATCTCTCGAGTCGGGGTTCTCCCATCCGCGAAATCATAAATAATTCCAGCCGACACTCCAGATGCAACGAGAATAATGAAGATGGAAACGGTTGATGCAAACGAAACAGCTTTAATCACACACGCAATGAAATGCAGTAACTGGCTTACTTCACATCGAGGCGCCATCTTGCCAGTGCACTGTACACTGCTAGCTGTACACTTTTAAAATTGCGCACATTTCAAGCTGATACTTCGAAAACTTCAGATTTCAGCACCTTAACCTTTTCATGTCACTGCTGAGTATTATATATGAGTTCTAAGCTGTTAATTTGAATGCTAATATTTTTTTAGATTTCATGTGTTTTATTGAAATAGTTTTCCAACTTTGGATTACCTTCATTCGTCACATTTCTGCTCAGTAATTAAAGTTGGACACGGTTCATTAGTAGAATTTATAATTCCAAGTCACTTTACGTTTGATCTCATGACTTCAAACTTTAATGCACTTCTTAAAAATAAACACTTTGACACAGTTTGTATACGGCGTATACTTTCTGTACCTTCTCACATAATCATCTCAAGAGATCTATATCTTGCAAAACCTTTGTAGCCCTGGTATCCAACAGACATAGCCAACAACAATTTTCAATTATTACATTAGCGAAGGATGTAACAAATCGAGTAGATCGCCCTGAGAAATAAGACCTTTGAAATTCTACAGGGTGTTTCGTGTTGAAATACACGGCAGTGTGCATCGATGACCATTTTATATAGACAAGAGTGGACGTTTTTACAAAGGACGTTCGGAATTAATCCAAAGGCACGAATCTGTAATGACAGAAAAACGTGTATATGCTAAGTAAACATTTTGTACAGTAATCGCTGCTCCAATCTTGAGACGAAGTTAAGTAAATACGAAACAGTCCCAGAATCACTTCGATATCATCGTCATAACACAATTACAGAAGTACATGAATAAACATACACGAATAAAATAAAGTAGTGTGATGTTTATTCACGAACTGAAACCAAAAAATGTCATATAAACACGTGACTTCAAGAGTCTTGATGTACAAAATGTTAACAAAAGTTATTCAGGATGCTCTCCATTAGTGTGAATGCATAACAGATTTATGTGGAGCCGATAATACGTCACGACGTCCAGGAATGTGCCGTTCTGTCGTCGAAACCGCTTTAATAAAACGACAAACTCTCGATGTGTGTCGTCACTTTTCGTTTAGGCCTAGAATGTGCTATGCGGACGGACCCAGAGGTGGAAATCGACAGATGTGAGATCAGGCGAACGCATAGGCCACAAAAATCGACCAATTTCATACCGTCCATTGATCTGGATAGTCAAGAGTCTAAAAATTAATTTGCGTATCGCGTAAAATGAGCAGAAAATCCGTATGGCTTTTAGCTATGCCAATGTATCCTCCAGTGCCTGGAGTAAATAACTTCTTTACAAATGTTAATATGAGGCACCCAGAGTGGAATCAGTAGATGGCAGGGTCCTACAAACTCATCGCCAATTATTCCCGCGCAAAATAGTATTTGTAAACTGAAGCTGGAAGCCTTTCTGCTGAACATAATGCGGGTATCCATAATTCCTTATAAAGTATTGTTCCATCAGTGACCAGAAGATGGTTGAGAAAAACGGATTAGTCGAATTTTGCTACACCATCCACTGGTTGCAGACTTTGAACAAGGTGTACAGATGTGAGAAAATTACTTGGAACGTTGCGAGCGGATCGTAAGGGTCATGTCAGAAGTCTTGCCCACGACATGCTGAAAACATTTATCTCAGTTCTCAGTTTTGGATAGAATTTCAAGTCGTCGAGTCCGTAAAGAGAGTTGCTTGAACATTTATTTTGCGTTTTAAAAATTCAGTTGCTTTTCGACAAAGAGTCTTAATTTCAGCCAATATATTCACTTCTTGCGGTAAAATGCATTTTGAATGACTTGCAGAATTGCTATCAAGTTGCCTATAATTGCGACGAACCCGCAAGCCAAGTGTTTACCCAAATATAGACGCGGTATAGACGATGATCAAGAAAGATTAAGATTGGATTAAGTAGGCTTTATTGCAGATACAAATCATCGCAAACACGTGAACAGATGAACTGTTACGCTATGCTCCTCCGAACACTATAACACATTAGTTAATGTGTCTAATGAGTAATCCAGATTACTCAGTCCTAATTACTAACTCTCTAAACAACACAAAAACAACAAAACATTCAGAAAAAAAAACAATACAAGATCGCGACTTACACAATAATAGCCACCACCAATCTGAGTGCTTCAAGGTCAGAGAAAAGTCGTACAATGTCGCAATACAAACAACGGAGCACAGGTGAGAAAAGACAGCTCAGAACTCGCAGCGTAGAAAAGAGGTTATGAGCCCACGGACGGAGTGACATCGCCCCTTCGTTTTGCAATGTTGCCACGAAGCGCTTGCAACAATATTTTTACGGGATCCTTCTGGCTTCATTTCAGGAGTAGAAATCATTGAATTTCCAGCAGTTAATAATTGTCCTGCACAATTTACTAATATTTTTTTTTACGTATTTAACTTAGTAGGGAAACAAACATTGAAGAAAGAAAGTTAAGGAACCTTAAAGAACGTAATGTACAACAAAAGACAAACAAAGGAAACACTTGCTTGGTCACAAATGATAGTCATTTGTTTTAGGTGCCTTTGTGCAGTCTACGGAAGCCTTGCCTTCAGAAACGTTTTAAGTTAAACTAAACTTTTTTAAAACCTCTTCGCTAGAGAAAGAGAGCTTTGTTTTATATTGTGTTATTTTAATGATTCGAAAACGTGGCGGTATTTCAGAGAGACCCCACATCCTGAAACTGTCTAATGTAGTTTTTCTGTGCGGCTAGTTTTTCTTTAGAATAAAATTATTAGCGTCGTAAAATTTTTTTCATTGTGTGTCTTTCTTAAATATTCCGAGTAACAGAGAGAAAGTGTTTTTCAGAATCGTTTGCATTTCTGAATGTCTTATAGCGACCGCAATCATTTTTATGCATCGCGTATATATCAAAAAAACAAATCTCATTAATGATCCTTTCAACAACACGCCCCCTTTGCGGAGTTACGAAAACAAACATCGCTTTAATGATGTTCTAAAGTGTGAGGGGGAAGGAGAACATTTTCCCCCAAGTTTACGTAAATAAACAATTGTTAACAGCCATTTTATTTACTCCTCGTATTACAAAATTTTTTTGTAACAAAATTTGGGTATCTTGTTTATAAAAATTATGCAGCTAAGGTGCAAATTTAGATAAATCAAAGATTTGGCATTGGACAGATGAGAAATTCAAACAGAATTTAGCACGAAATCTTACGAAAACGTCACCTGTACTGACAAAATTAATAACGATGGTAAAATAACAATACAAGAAGGCGTTAGCTGGATTAATCTGGCTTAGGATAGGAATAATTGTGGGATTCTGTATGAAGGGTAATGAGCTTTAGCCTACACACAAGGCCAGTAATTTTTTGGTCATTAATGATTATGCTTCATGTTGTTAATTCGAAGTAATTCGGGTTTAATTTATGTCTGAAAGCTGGACAGTATGACTGTGGCTGCTACTGTTAGTATGTTATTAAAAAGGGAAGAAAATATATAAAACCGTGGGTTACAAGAAGAATACGAAGAAGGAGGTCGAGGGAAATTATTAAGAAAAGAGAAGTTGAAATATGTTGTAAGAATTACGTCCTTATTCAAAGTTTCTCGTTTTTCTTAGACATTTTGTTCTTTTAAGTATTGAAGAATTTCAACTTCTGTTACAAACAAACAAACACGTCAGAATCACCACGACTAAATAAAAAGTGTGAACGGATAGCTAGACATTTCTAAGGATCTAGGGCAGAGAAGTCTATTTGTTTCATCAGAGAGCATTCGATGCTAACTAGAGTACAGCAGAACAGCTTTAGCTAGATTCTAGGTTACCTCTCAATCCTGTGATACTGAAAATTACTCTAGCTAAGAAAAAATTCCCCAGTGGTCGGTCACCCGCCCTCAGGAGTCGCTTTGTGCGTGAACTGAATTTGAATGCGAGTCCGACATAAATCGAAAAGCGACGCTGAGAAGTTGGACCTTCTCTGTCAGTGTTTCTCAAATCGTGAGTCGTGGAACACTGCCGTACCACGACAGTCACGGTTTTGATTTTTTACTAATTTCACTAGAAGTTAAAATTATTTAAATTTCAGGATCACTATGTCAAATTCTGTCCACTTGTTCGAAGCAGCATCCTTATGCCACTTTCGTCCGCGTATTTGATCTCAACCAAATGTTTTATGTCCGAACTTTTCTTCGAATAATAATTATAATAATTTTTTCCACTGGACGAGTGACAGAGGCTAGCTCTTTCTAAGGGACCCAACGGAGTCGGTACCTCTCACCTGAAGACGGAGACAGAACCAGCCTCCGAAACGTCGTGAATTTTAAAAACAGACCATTGAAAAAGTCCTGACAACAAATAATTTTAAGTGTAATCTACCGTCGTCAAAACCCTTTAGAACTGAGTTGGCATTTATACTTATTTATGATAAGATCTATAAAGTCCTTTTATGCTGGGGAAACAATGAATGCATACAGAATTTTCGGAGGAAAACCTCTTGGAAAGTATCCACTTCTAAGACCAGAAAACAATTCGATGGACAATATAAGATAAAACTGGAGGAGACAAGGACGTAACTGGCTTAAGATACTGTTTAACGTCAGGCTTTGAAATCAATATTATTGACATGTCCAGTTTTCGAAAATACGAGTAAAGTTTTTCAAATTTACAAATTCGTTTTGGGTGTCTGAGGAGAGGTCCATATGAACAGGATCCTTCCATCCTTTTCTCGGACTGGGACCTGTTCATATACGTTCTTGGCAGATGATCCAGAAGTGGTTTGCCATTGCCTTCTTCTGTGTGTGAATGGAGGAATTGTTGGGATGCCACGGA